AGAAAAGGCTTACTATTTAAGCCGGTAACTAAAACTTACAATAGCCGGTAACTTGTATAATTATTGTCGGGTACACTTGGGGCCCCATCGCCACAACAATTAACAAGAAACTACAAAAATCACATGCATGTCTAGAAATTATTAAAGACAAGATAAGATTCTTTTTCCCTTGTCTTTTACAAAAGATAGAAAATGCATGTAATTATGCCTAGAAATTATTAAAGACAAGACAAGATAAGATTCTTATCCCCTTGTCTTTTACAAAAGATAGAAAATGCATGCAATTATGCCTAGAAATTATTAAAGACAAGATAAGATTCCTTTGTCCTTTTGCTTTTGGAAAGATTCTTCTTCTATTATTTCTTGTCCTTTAACCTTTGTCTATTGATTCTTACTTCATTATATTTAGACAAGATAGCAAATTAATTCTTCGCTTTCCTTAAACAAATATTTTTCTTGTGTTGAATTTTATTTTCCAGAAGTAAATCTAACCAAAACTTCTTTTGAGGTTTCAGGTATTATTTGTTTAAGGAAAGCAAAGAATTAATTTGTTATCTTGTCTAAATATAATGAAGTAAGAATCAATAGACAAAGGTTAAATGACAAGAAATAATAGAAGAAGAATCTTTCCAAAAGCAAAAGGACAAAGGAATCTTATCTTGTCTTTAATAATTTCTAGGCATAATTGCATGCATTTTCTATCTTTTGTAAAAGACAAGGGGATAAGAATCTTATCTTGTCTTGTCTTTAATAATTTCTAGGCATAATTACATGCATTTTCTATCTTTTGTAAAAGACAAGGGAAAAAGAATCTTATCTTGTCTTTAATAATTTCTAGACATGCATGTGATTTTTGTAGTTTCTTGTTAATTGTTGTGACGATGGGGCCCCATGTGTACCCGACAATAATTATACAAGTTACCGGCTATTGTAAGTTTTAGTTACCGGCTTAAATAGTAAGCATTTTCTTTCCTATATAAAGGGATTTAAGTTTCATTTGTAAACACACATTGGAACACCTTTGAATAACAAGTTTGAACTTTCTTGCAATATTGTCTCACAATCTTGTATACTCCTCTTTTCTTTACTAAAAATCTGATCCTGCTTCCGCTATTTACACACTTTGGGACACACTTTGGTATCATCACCTGGACTTGCCAAATCTAAGGTATATTTCTTAATTTATCATGAAAATTAGTGGCTAAATTTGTGTTGTGAGAGGTTGATTATGCTTAGACAAAACTAAGTAGGTAACTTTTTCTCATAACATGTTATTAACTAGCAAACAACCTTTTCAAAGTGTTTTTAAAAACTAAAAAGTGTTTTTAGTGTTTTCTTAAACATTCATCTTTTTCCCGGGGAAGGGAGTTGATGATTTCAAAAAAGAAAATTTTTGCTAAAAACATTTTTACATCTTTGATTTGGAGAAATCCTTCTATCTCTTCGGGTTGATAGTTAAACAATTTGTTGTTTGCTTAGATGACTTTTAATTCGTTGTTGTTTTAGCTAAAATTATGTTATGAGTCCAAGTTATCTATTTAGATTTAACTTTGCATATCAACCAATCACAACATTCTTAGCCTATTGCCCTATGGATTCTGATGATGATAATCATCAAAATAATTTAATAAAAAATGAAGAATTAATTGAATATCCAAAAAATATGGATAAACTCAACAGATGGGTTATACACTCAGTTCCTTCTAATCAAATTTATAGATTTGATAAGATAGATGTTTTTTCTCGTTTTGCTGTTAAAACTTTAGAGCAAACGATTCAAATTTCTAAAGAAACTCAGACAATAAAACTGTTAACTAAAAAAGATTTGAAACCTTTTAAAAATTATAATTTTATCCATATTGGATTGGTTCAAATTTCTTTAAAACCTTTAACATTATTGGGTTTAAATTCTAGCATAATGGCTTATGTTAGAGATGGTAGATGTAAAGATTTCAAACAATCTTTAGCTGCTATGGTTGAGACAAGTCTGTGTCATGGACCAGTTTACTTTGATGTCTCACCTAATTTAAATCTATCTTTATCGTTGAGAATATAAGACTAAGCGAAAATAGAGTTTCCCATGGAATTTATCAAAGACCTCATACTCCAAGAGTAGAATCACCTACTCAGTCAGATATGAATTTCCAATTATAATGATAGATTACTCCCCTGGTAGTAAGATGAGACAACTCATCAATGATGAGTTTCAACATGAGAGATACTCTCAATTTAGAAATTGGTTTTTTAAAAAAATTTCAAAACCTGAATTAGCCCAATTTAAAGAGGAGTATTACACTCAAATGAACCTTGAGCAGGATTTCGTTCCTTTTGTTAAATGGTTTGTTAATTACTTTATAAATAAAAAGCAAGAAGAAATTCTTGTGTTACAAAGACCTTGGGAAAACATTAGAGGAGAAATAATGGAGTCTCCTTTTCTCCCTGAACAAACAATAAGTTTGAGTCAAAATACTGAAGCTACCCCTTACCTTAGCCTTCAGTTACAAAGAGTTGAACAAAATCAAGTTACTCTTAAGGAATTAAATTCAGTTATCAGGTCTCAAAATTATACCAATGCTTACCTTGTTTGCTTAGGAGAATAATTTATCTCTATGGAAAAAGATCTCTTATCCATAAAAGATCTTTTAGAAAAACAAATAGAGCGTCAAGATATCATTATTGACCACATAAATAAACCTAAAGACCAAATATCCACATCCACTATTTCGGATGTTCCTATAGTACAACCTCCTGTTTCCATAGAAGGATTTAAAATGGAAACTAACGGAGAAGAATTTGTTCGTATTTTAGAACAAAAACTAAAAGGACTTAATATCACTGTCATGTCCCATGAAGATTATTCTGAGGATAATAATGACAACCATATTGACCAGCTTGCTGATATGTTTGCTAATTTAGACATTAGTAACCTTGATATTAATACTAATAGTATTAATAATACTAATAGTATAAATCCTGTTTATTCCCCAAGGCCTATAGAAAAGTATTATTACAAGCGTCCCTCACCGCAAGATTTGCTTTTTGAGGAATCAGAACCTTTCCAGAATTCTTATTCAGGAAAAGTCATTTATGAATGGAATGTTGATGGTCTTAATGACAAACAAATTATAGATACTATCCATAGGATGATCATGTATTCTACTGTTTGCAAGCAACATGGAAATTCTGATGCTTCAATAGCATCCTTTATAACAACAGGATTTGTTGGTCAACTTAGAGGCTGGTGGGATCATTATCTCACTGAATCTCAAAAATTAGAGATTCTTAATCATAAAAAAATCGTTAAGAGCGAACCAAGAACTAGTACGAGCACTATTGTGGCTACAACCACCACAGGAGAAGAAGATGCAGTGTATACACTGTGTCTCTCCATCTTACAACATTTTGTAGGAACCAATGTCCCCATTGGAGAAAAAATCCAGACACTTCTCCAAAACCTTAGGTGTCCTTCTCTCACCCACTTTAGATGGTATAAGGATACTTTTCTTTCAAGAGTTTATCAATTAAACAATCCCAATTCTTTGCATTGGAAAGCAAAATTTATTGATGGATTACCTCATTTCTTTTCAGAAAAAGTTAGACAATCCTTAAGACAGAAAAATGATGGGATAAATATAAATTTTTCAGATCTTACTTATGGTCATATAATTAGCACTTGTGTTAATGAAGGATTAACTTTATGTAATGACATAAAGCTTAGAAATCAACTCAAAAAGCAAAAGCTTTCTGAAAAACACCAAATTGGTGAATTTTGTGAGCAATTTGCTTTTGATCTTGGAAAATCTCCAGATAATAAAAAGAAAAAAGAAAAAATTTTCCGCAATAAACCTTATAGGGATAAGCCAAAAAATTCTTATAAAAATTCTTATAAGAATAAGAAAAGGGGCCACTACAATAAGAGTAGACCTAAAGAAAAATCTTTTGACCCTAAAGGTAAAAGAAAAGCCAAAAGGCTTGACATAACATGTCATAAATGTGGCTAACCTGGCCATTATACCAACCAATGTTGGACTAAAAAAGCTCTTAATGAGATAGAAGATGAACAATTACGTTCTCAATTAGAGAAAGTTTTACTTCTCAAATCTGATTCTGAAGAATACTCTTCTGAAGAAGATATTAATATGATTTATGAATCTTCTTCTGATTACTCATCTGAATCTTCTAACAATAATAATTGTCAACATAATCAATTAGATTACTGGAAATCAATAGTGGATATGAATGGGTTAAATGTTTTAACCTCAGAACAGGATGGAGCTATAAAGGCTATAGAGTCCATTTCTGATAAAAACCTTAAAAGAAAAATGCTTGAGGTTCTAATCCAAGAAAACTCTAAAAGAGAATCTCCTATTATTACAGAAGCACCTTACCAATTAAGTGAGGTTTTGTCTAGATTTAGACAGTCTAACATTCGTGAAACTCCTGTTTCTATTATGGATTTAAATAGAGAAATAAATCTCTTAAAAAATGAGATAGCTCAAATTAAAAAAGAAAACTATGGTTTATCTCAAAGGCTCACTTTTTTAGAGTCCAATAATTCAAGGGTTGAAGAAATAGCTTCAACTAGTAATCCTTCACCTAGTGATGATTTCCTTTCCCTCATTGATAGAGTGACCTCCCAAAAATGGTTTGTTAGAATAACTTTAGTGATTAATAGAAATTTCATATTAGAAAATGAAGTTGCCCTTATTGATAGTGGCGCTGATTTAAACTGCCTTCAAGAGGGAATTATTCCCACTAAGTATTTTGATAAAACTACTCAATCTCTTACACAAGCTGGAGGAGATAAACTCACGGTTAATTATAAACTGTCTAATGCTTATGTTTGTAACAAAGTTTTTTTTTGAATAAATGGAGTATATTTCATTCAAAAAATAACAATTACACGCAAGTGGCGATCCACGATCCATCCCTCAAGATTACCAAATCACACCAAAAATACGCTGCCAACAAAAGAAAGAAATTAAGCGCAACAGTAAAAACTATAGCATCAACTCTGAAATTCGAGTTCGAAGTTTATGACTATACCAACCTCTATAAGTTATCATATCTATAATATTACTCCGTATAAAGTTGTTGTCCTTCGCCTTCCCGAAACAATTGTGATTCCTATACATCCAAAGTCCATAAAGTGTCTCTGTCACAGCAAGACGGATGAGTGCTGATTTTTTCCCCTTACCTGTACCGTGCTGCAGAATCCAATTCAATTCTTGATTCCAACTTTTTGGTTCGTGCCGAACACCTATCCAATCCAGAACATCCTTCCAAATACCTTTCATAGTGGGACATTCAAAGAACAGATGTGTGATGGTTTCCTCCGTTTCACAGAAGCAGCATGTATTATTTTCCACCTTTCCATACCGCATACATCGGTCTTTCGTTGCAAGTCTCTGATGGCATATCAGCCATAATGTCATAATTACTCTTGGCCTTGCTACATTACCATACATTAGTTTCCGCCAAATTTTCTCTTCCTCATCTCCCTTATTTAGTTCCCGATAAATACTTGACATATGGAATTTCCCCTTAGCCAACATTTCATCCCATTTCTGCTGGATCGGTGGTATCATGTCTCTAGCTTTCAAAGTCGTTTTCATAATCCACGAACTATCCGGTTTCACACTCATCTCCATAACACTCTTATTTTTGAAATAATATGTATGCACCCAGCGAACCCACATGTTATCCGCTTTATTACATATGTTCCAGATTAGCTTAAGCATCGTGACTATACTCCAAATCTCCAGGTTAATAATATTCATACCTCCATATTTGACAGGTTTGCAGACAGTTTTCCACGCAACAGGGCTGCGGTTACTAGGTTCCAAACCACTTGTCCATAGGAACGTTCGGCATATAGTATTAATCTTCTTCAAAACATATTTTGGCAGCGGTAGACATTGCAGCCAATAATTCGCAATTGCAAAGGTAATGCTTTTGATAAGTTGGAGTCGACCCGCATAGCTCAACAACTTGGTACTCCAATGTCTTACCCTATCCACAATTTTATCAACCAATATCATGTAATGGTTGATAGAAAGCCTTTTCGTCGTGAGTGGTACGCCTAAATATTTGAAAGGGAGAGAGCCCTCCACAAACAAAGTCTTTTGTAAGATTGCATCTTTTACATTTTCTTCCACACCCCCAAAATATATGCGACTTTTAGTAGCATTTAACATCAGTCCAGTGGCTTTCGTAAAGTTACAAATCGCTTCCATCATGATCTCTACTGATCTTGTGTCCCCCCTGGAAAACAGTAGAATGTCGTCCGCAAATGTCAGGTGAGTGATGCTCAGCTTTTCACATTTCACATGGTGGTTGAAATCAGGATTCTGTTGCATCCTGCACAGTACCCTATTCAAGTATTCCATCACTATCACAAACAAATAGGGGGATATAGGGTCCCCCTGCCGCACACCTCTTTTTGCTTTCATGATACTACTATACTCCCTGTTTACATTAAATCTGTACGACACTGTTTTCACCGCGAGCATGATCCAACGAACAAATCTGTTTGGTAAGCCAATTTCGTTTAGAATTGATTCAAGAGCTTTCCAATCCACCATATCGTACGCTTTTTGTAAATCCAACTGAATCATACACCTAGGCGCCCCTCCTTTGCGGCTGTAACCTTTAATCAGTTCGTATGCTAGTAGTATATGGTTATGAATTTGCTGTCCTGTAACAAAGATATTTGTTTACCCACTCACTTTATTCTTGTAAAAAACTTAACTCATAGAATTATATTAGGAACTCCCTTTCTGCATAAAATTATGCCTCTAATTAATGTTGATCAAAAGGGAATTACCTCCATTATTAATAATAAAAGAATTACTTTTGAATTCATTACTGATCCTCATACTAGGATGATTAATGAAGTTAAAGATATTCTTCTTAAAAAAGAAAAACAAATTTGTTTTCTTAAAGAAGAAGTGGATTTATTAAACATCACTTATCAACTAAAAACCATGAAATTCAAAATCAAATTAAATTAATTGATCAACATTTTAGAGAAGAAATATGCAATGATTTACCTAATGCCTTTTGGGATAGGAAGAAACATGTTATTTCTTTACCTTATCTTGATGACTTTAATGAAAGTCAGATTCCCACTAAAGCTAGGTCTGCTCAAATGAATCATGAGTATTTGGATTTATGCAAAAAAGAGATAGAATCTCTTTTGGAGAAAAAATTAATAAGAAAATCCAAATCTCCTTGGAGTTGCACAGCCTTTTATGTCAATAATGCTGCAGAAAAGGAACGTGGAGTTCCTAGACTCGTTATTAATTACAAACCACTTAATAAAGTGTTAAAATGGATTAGATATCCTATTCCTAATAAAAAAGATCTTTTAGATAGATTAAACAATGCTTTAATCTTCTCTAAATTTGATATGAAATCTGGTTATTGGCAAATTCAGATTAATGAATCTGATAAGTATAAAACAGCCTTTACCGTACCTTTTGGACATTATGAATGGAATGTCCTTCCTTTTGGCCTTAAAAATGCCCCTTCAGAATTTCAAAATATTATGAATGATATTTTTAATCCTTATACGGAATTTATAATTGTTTATATTGATGATGTTTTAGTTTTTTCAAAAACTATAGATCAACATATGAAACATTTGAAAATATTCAAAGGATTAATTAAGCATAATGGATTAGTAATATCTGGTCCTAAGATGAAACTTTTTCAAACAAAGGTTAGATTTTTAGGACATGAAATTGACCAAGGAACTATAATTCCTATACAAAGAAGTATTGAATTTGCTTCTAAATTCCCTAATATTATTACAGATAAGAAACAATTACAAAGGTTTCTTGGTAGCCTTAATTACATAGCAGATTATTATGAAAATCTAGCTAAAGATACGGCAATATTACATGCTAGGCTTAAAAAGAATCCTGGCCCTTGGACTGAAAAACATTCTCAGGCAGTCCAAAGAATTAAAAATAAGGTGAAATGTTTGCCTTGTTTATCTCTTGCTAATCCTAAGTATTTCAAAATTGTTGAAACTGATGCTTCAGACTTAGGCTATGGAGGAATCCTTAAACAAATAATACCTGAAACCTCAAAAGAAGTTTTGGTTAGATTTACTTCTGGAAAATGGAATCCAACACAAGCAAAATATTCAACTATCAAGAAAGAGATGCTTTCTATTATAAAATGCATTTCAAAATTTCAAGATGATCTTCTTAATAAAAAATTTTTATTAAAAATTGATTGTAGCTCAGCTAAATCAATTATTGAAAAAGATGTTAAAAATTTTGTTGCTAAGCAAATTTTTGCTAGTTGGCAATCACAATTATCTATGTTTGAATTTGATATTCAACACATTAAAGGTGAAAATAATTCACTTGCTGATTATTTAACTCGTGAATTTTTGCAGGGAAAAAATGATGACCCCATATAGGGGTAGAGGCCGCGGTTATGGCCGTGGTGGGAGAGGGAGTAACAATATGTTACCCCAGCCAGAATCAAACATTCCTCTAATAGGGGATTAGACTACTGTCTACAAAGGTAGAAAAATGCAGCAATTACCTGCATCTTCAGCAAAAAGGGAAGATATTACTTCCTCTTCCTCTAATAAAACTACATCCTACAAGGAAGTTGCGGTTAATAACCCACCTCAAGAACAAATGGATTATTTTGAAAATCCAGTAACTGAGAAAATCATGTATATTGATGATGAAGATATAAAGATAAATCCAAATGATGGATGGTCTATCAAAACTAGATACCTCGAATCAAGAGGATATTCAGGTCTTCATGGAAAATCTAGGCCCAACCTAGAAATTCTCCTGACTGTTACCGAATCGGTAACAATTACTCACCATTACCAAAACAATAATCCTGAAAGTTTTATAAACTTCAGCAAATGTCACATTAACAAAATTTTGTTACCAAGAGAATGGGATCTCAACCCAAATGCTGAAAAAGCAATAAGAATTGCGGAAGGAAAGTATATTTACTTTAATTATTGGGACTATGTCCAGGCTTTCACTCAAGCCTTTTATTACCAATATCCCAAGAACAAGCATTCTTGGTTTTTCTCTATTAATGAAGAGATGGTTAATAAACCCATACCAAATTGGTTTTATGAATGGTGGGCTAAATTTGGTCCATCTTTGGAAATTCTTCCTAAAGAAATTCTTAACTTGTATAATCCATGGTGTGATAATAGTCCACTTATTGTAAATATTTTATCTGATAATTTAATCACTGGACAATGTCCATTATTGTTCTTTATTAAATTTCAGATTCCATGGATATGGAGATGGACAATCACCATATCAAGAAACAAATTTAACATTCCCATTTTAGAAAGAAATTTCTTTTGTAAATGGTGGAACAAGATGAGTGATAGGATGTTCAGAATAAAATTAAATTAATTGAAGAAGCAATAGCTGAAGACCTGAATAAAAAGGTCAAGGAACAAAGCTCCCAAGAAATGTCTATGGAAAACTTGAAGAACTTCTTCAAGAGAAAATATCCCAATGAATCAGAAGACGAAATTATGGTCAGAATTTTGGATCATATGAAGAACCAATTATTCTCTACTTTTCCATCAAAAGCATCAAAAGATGAGGATTCATCTATGAAGACAAGCTCTTCCATGGGATCAATGGATTCCCATAATTTTGAAGGTGTAGCAGGAGAAGGTCAAGCAGATGAAGCTACTGCAGAAGATTTCTGGGATGCGATGATTCAATCTTTGAAAGAAAAAAGGAAAGCAAAGAATTAATTTGCTATCTTGTCTAAATATAATGAAGTAAGAATCAATAGACAAAGGTTAAATGACAAGAAATAATAGAAGAAGAATCTTTCCAAAAGCAAAAGGACAAAGGAATCTTATCTTGTCTTTAATAATTTCTAGGCATAATTACATGCATTTTCTATCTTTTGTAAAAGACAAGGGAAAAAGAATCTTATCTTGTCTTTAATAATTTCTAGACATGCATGTGATTTTTGTAGTTTCTTGTTAATTGTTATGACGATGGGGCCCCAAGTGTACCCGACAATAATTATACAAGTTACCGGCTATTGTAAGTTTTAGTTACCGGCTTAAATAGTAAGCCTTTTCTTCCCTATATAAAGGGATTTAAGTTTCATTTGTAAACACACCTTGGAACACCTTTGAATAACAAGTTTGAACTTTCTTGCAATATTGTCTCACAATCTTGTATACTCCTCTTTTCTTTACTAAAAATCCTATATATATATATATATATATATATATATATATATATATATATATATATATATATATATATATATATATATATATATATATATATATATATATATATATATATATATATATATATATATATATATATATATATATATATATATATATATATATATATATATATATATATATATATATATATATATTGTTTTGGACTGGGCCGAGTCTTATCCCACATTCAAGTAGGCCCAAAATCCCTCCTAGGACAGGCCCAATAGGACCACGCGACGAGCAAGGCCTTGTCGGGCATGACGCCTCCCCTGTGTCGAGCACAGGCTCTCAACTGTCGGGCATGACGCCTCCCCTGTGTCGAGCACAGGCCTTCAACTGTCGGGCAGGCCTCCCAGGCGGCCAGCTCCTCCTACCTCTCCCCCTCGTCGGGCAGAGCCCAGTCTGCCCAGGGAGGACCTCGAGCCTTCTCCCACGTCCTCCACGTGCTCCTCACGCAGGAACACGTCATAAAGTAACTACCCACATGGAGATTCGGTCTTCTTCCTCCCGGATAGTGCAGAACAGTTACCCTAGGGCGAAGACCATGTGCTAGTCTTCACGACGCCATGTCAGCCCTAGCAGTTACTAACATTGGGCCTGGTAGCCCATCCCAGTCCTAGGTAACCGTTGGCCCTGCGTTGGGGGCTCACTATAAATACCCTCTTCACTAGAGGGTCAGGTAACTGAACTCTCTCACTCTCTCTCTGTACTTGCTTCCACTCTACTCGTCACTTACTTTGGCATCGGAGTGTGTTTCAGGTACACCCCCTCCTCTTCAACACTTTGGTGAACAGATTCCATATCGACGACGCGTGGCAGATCATCGATCCCCTTCTGGTCAGGTACGATTAGTGGTTTCGTCTGTGGGAATCTAAGCTTCCCCGTTCTTCCGAGCAAAGAATCAAAGCTTTATCTCTCCAAACCTCAGGATCATGACTAGCCCACGCCATAACGACGTTGTTCACAACTCCGACCAGGTCCCTGTCACCAATGGCAACACTCGGGTGGGGACATCTCAAATCCACGAGACTGACATCCGAGACGGCCAAACTACCTCCCTTTATTCCGAGGAAGCACCGCGCCAGATCGTTCCTGGGGCACAGAGCCTGGCAGTATTCCATCCCATCCCCACTCTGGTCGGAGCGGATCCAACACCTTCCCATTGCGTAACAAACCCCCTTACCCAGATCCCTGTTCTTGTTCTTATTTTAGAATTATTTGGTTTTGTTCGCTCTTTTTCCTTTCCTT